GGAATGGCTGTGGAACACTCGTCAGTGATGGACGAGTGGAAGTCGGATAATCTGTAAAAATTGTTCATACGACAACAACCAGAGCCTAGTTAGTACTTAAAATGTTCAAAACCAAAATTTAATTTAAGCTTTTAAATCTTTTCGCAAAGGCCGTGAGAAAGAATTTATCTAGAAGTTGATATATCTAGTTAAAGACCCTTTTAGAACCTACCAGAACAAGGTGTCAACCTCGAGGTGGATATAACACTTCCAAAAGAGAATTGAAATTGGAGCCTCAACCTGTGATTAGACAAGAGAGCGTATTCAAGAATATTATTCACCTCTTTTTAATGAATGAATTGAAATGGTTTTGCAACAGCACTCATGGACTTAGGTTTATCCAATGTCCCAAAAAACACCTCGTTACTTGTGGTCTTTCGATGCGAAATTCAGCACATTCGTTAGGAATTATTTCCATTGGAGTTGCATCAGAGCGGACAGGTATGAAGAACGGAATATATTTATATCAAATGGTAGACCTAATGACGGTTATCATTAGCACTTTAGTTGACGCCGCGTTTCACAGAGGGGAAAGAACACAAAATTGGAGAAGCGGAACAGGACAGTGATTCACAGATGTAAACGAGACAGACATAAAGCCAGAGAAAAAGGTGAGGTGAGTACTGTGGAAGTGATTGAATGTAACATAAAGTAGACTCATGATAGTTTGAAGTCAACTTCCAATCTATAGACTTTTTCGCCGTATGAGTATAGATTGCACAGGGTGTTCCAAGTTGAGGTAATTATACCGCGCACCCCAGAATAGAATATTTGGTTTGTAAAATTTGAATCATTTGAAAGTTCATTTATTCTTATAACTGATCGAAATACGTTTTTTCCCGAGCCTCCGTTTAGTAAATTAAGGAAAAAAAGCCGATTTTGCCATTGCGACACAAATTTCATACAAAGCTTATTGAAATTAGATAGGTTAGTAGAGAATTAAAAGAAGTGGAATCCATTACTGAAAATATTTCTGTTATATTTTCCTTAAAATCATTTTCATTTGCAAGCTGAACAAAAAAATTTATTTGAAGGAAATTTATAGTTGAATCAGAGCAATAAATTATACAAAGAAGATAAATGGAAGCAGGAAGGATACAAATGATTTCCTTTAAAAGCACTTTCCACCGGTAGATTCTGTCGGAAAATGGCTAAAATCAGTCACGTTTTACACAAACCAACCTCTCACCTCACTTTATACCTATGCCAAGCTAGCACTCAACATTCGGCCATATAATTGGCCTTTGCCCT